TATATATCAATATGAACTATTGCCATTTACTAATTTATATTGTAAATGAATCTAGTAAGCAAGCATTTTGACTATAATATCTTTCTTTTAAACAAGCATACATATGCATACTTTGTATCCGAAGCTATTTAAGTGAAGAGCACTGTACAAACAGTAATAAAGATAGAGTAATTTAATACGAAGGAGGGGAGAGGGGGTTGGCATGAAAAAAAAGATATCGTAACGCCGAAATGGAGTTTATATAAATAATATAATTTCCGATTTAGGTTTTATTACAAGTAGCTTGTTCGCCGTATTGGACGATGAATGGGCGTCTGATAATTGCCATCCTTACTACCTGCTGCGAGGCGTTTGAAAACGGTAGTCAGGCGGTGAGGACCGCGGCTCAGGCGGCGACCAGTCAAACGCTCCGATCTTTCTGCCTTTTCCTAGGTAAATTCTTCCGGATTTGCGATTCACGACACGTACCGAAATTTCGTGATTGCTCTCACGTAGCTTATCTGGCACTCGATCAACTAGTTCGACGAAAGTTTGATCAATAAATTTTCGTGCCTGGCGCAACGTGTCCATTATGCGAATTCCATGACATTCGTTCAACTTTCTTCATTTCTCTTCACTAAAGAACGATTGAATTAGTATTAAAATATTTAATAATATTCAATTAGCCTCTCTGATCTCTAATATATATTTATATATTATTTATATCTATAAACTTAATAATTATTATATTCTTTTTGAATGATGATATATTCTTTTTGAAAATGAAATTCCTTTCATGATAGATGAGGAATGTCAGGAAATGGACGAGAACGCGAAGAAGAACAAGAATGTTTGGGAAAGAGGCGTTTCCTGCTTTAACGAAGCTCTGCCTATACTTCAGTACATTTGTAGTAAGCTGGACGAAGCTCAAAAGTAAGGAACGACGGAATAAATTGCTTTCGGTTGAAGCAGTCTATCTAACTTCGGGGAATATTGTTCCAGTAATGGCAGGAACGGGAACACAGTGGTGTTTTTACTGGAATGTCTGCACACCTTGATTTCCTCTTTGCCTCAGAAGATTCACACAAACGCGCACTTCACAACCTTTTTGTGGCAGAAATTCTGTCCAGCGTTGATAGCTTTTCTGGGCACGCCGAGGGTTGATAAAACGTTTACATCCAGGGAGGGGAAGGAGAATGAGATTGGCAGAGGATCCGGATACCTGGCTACTTCCCTCAGCTTCGACAGTCATCAAGCAAAAACTGTTTATAGGTATTTCAAAAATCAATTCGTTTACTTCCTTAACATGTTTCCATAGCTTTTTTCTTTAACATGCTTTCTTATTTTGTTCCCTTTGCTTGATTCCCATGCACGCGTCTATATGTCCCTAACTTGCTACTATGCTTCATAATTATAAAACAGGAATTAGAAATCTCGAAGTGAATGAATACCAATCGTGTTTTTTAGCATCGGAACAGAGTTAGTTCGATTAGTCGGTTGCGTGGGACCCCTCCGTCCGGTTTTGGAATCAGTATTTCACAGAATGTTACTGTACCCTCCACCCCAGCAACGATTGGAACCCTTAAAGGCCCTGAAGGAACTTTTACGAAGTCCCAGTCGAATGGTCGATTTCGCTGGGCCGTTGTTAGTAGAAGAAGATAAATCTAGTCATATCCAGAGCGACATGGCATTGATGAGACTGTAAGTAATCATTAGACAGCGGATTTTTATAGGAAATAAAAGATCTAAGGTGGTCAGTTAAGAAAATGAATTTCAAATTCTCAATTTCATTTATCTTTTATGAGTCACGATATGCATTCGTTTTTGTCCATCATATGTACGTATTTTGCCAACGTTTATACATACGTATAGTTATTTCATAAATACTTACATAAAATTCGCGGTCTAGTAATCACGAATTGTTCGATTGAATGGGTGAAATGAATGAAATAATTGCGTGATTTAATAGAGCGATGGACTCGATAGAAGAGTCAACAGCTGGTGGCTTGAGCACGATACACGCAAGTGTTTCTTGCGTCGTCGCAATGCTCTCTGCGCTTCAGGAATTGTGCGAGGGGAAGGCTATTAATCATACGTACACGTGCACGATCAATAGTTTGTACGAAGATCTGGAATCATGCGACTATAAAGGACCTCTGACCTATCAGAGTATGGCGCGATTACCAAAAACCTACAGGTTCGAGGATCATCACATTACTTTTATAAATGTCTCTTCTTAATTGGTGATTGCATAAAATTATATAATTAATTTTAGAGAGCAGTTGGAGTTAATGAAAAAGGGGATGGGATCTGACTCTGACTCGTCAGGGCATGGACCATCGGAGGATGGCGACTCCACTGACACGGAGGGTCCGCAGAACGAATCTGACGAGGTCCAAGAAGACAACAGCTTAGACGACAACGAATACTCGATTGAAAACGAGAGGGAGAGACTGAGGCTGGAAAAATTACCAAAGTGTCTTCACGTCGGTCGTCAGGTAGCCGACGAGTGCAACGTGGACATGGAGAGGCACAACGCTAGGAAATTTGTGAAGACTTTGAAGACGGATTTAATACCGATGGTACTGAGTCTTAGGAGCAATATAGAAGTCGACGAGGCTCTGCAGAACTTCGCTTCGGAATATTGCCAAGGTACGATAATCATGCATATGCTGAGTGTATAAGCAGTATATGTATGAGAAACAGGCATTGTGTAGAATGTTTAGTTCAGGGATGGGGAACCTTCTTTACATGAAAAGCCATATTTATTTTATTGAAATAACGGAAAGACCGTGTCGATCTTTCGAACCACTACTTCCGAATTGAAACATACTAATTTTCAATTTAACTATTTTCATAATGCATCTGCTTTTTTTTTACACGATTAAAATATTTTAAGAGGGAATGTTTGAAGGAAGGAAAATGGAAATTTTCAGGTGTCTTCACTGCTCAGCAGAAGATGCAAGAACAAACGGATACCAGCACCGATTCGTGTGCCTTGATCACGATCATGAACGCCGATGGAATTTACTTGGCTACGTACGCCGCGTTGTTGTTGAATTTGAAGTTGATTAGGATTAATTATTACCACGATGATAATCATCAAGTTCCAATTAGTGAGGTATTTTAAATAAATATATACTTAAATGTTTTGCAAGTTCTATTTCTTAAATTGCAAATATTAATTTATTTGTTTGTCATTTAGGAACAATTTGTGGAAGAAGTGCACGGATCCGGAGTTTTGGTGTATCTATCAGCAACTTGGTTGTCCGAACTCTATCAGCAGGTTCTCGCTTGCAATTTATTAGAGAAATGTGGCTACAACCCTCATTACACGGAAAACAGCGCACTGATAAATGTATTAACCGGTACGTAATCCTCATTTCAATTAAAGTTCTTCTGACTGTAAGTTAAAATAGTGATACATATTTGAAAATTCTATTATCATAAGTTCACGATTGACGCAGGAAAAAACTTTAGAACAATTGAAAATTAGATATAGTAACATTAAAAATTCGCAAAACATTATGTATTCAAGGTCCGAAATAAGACGAAAATGAAGAGAGAGAAAATTACGTTTAGGGTTTCATTAAGTATTTATTAACGTTTAGAAATTTGATGTTTT